TGGAGCTGACCTTGGGACAGCATGGTAGATGGAGAGGGGTATGAAGTGGGCAGTGCAAGCCCCCTAGGGTCAAGGAGGGGGTCTAGGAAGGAGGGCCCCTCAGCACAAAGATGGTCCTGTGGGGAGGGAGGAGGCCCTCAAGGGCAGTCTTCCTCAGAACCTCCCAGGGTATGGTTAGAAATGTAGGTCTCAGGCCGGGCACAGTGGCTCACACACTTTGGGAGGTGGGTGGATCACTTGAGGTCAGGAGTTCAAGATCAGCCTGGCCAACATGGTGAAACCCCATTTCTACAAAAAAATACAAAAACGTAGCCGGGCATGGTTGCACACACCTGTAATACCAGCTACTCGGGAGGTTTAGACAGGAGAATCACTTGAACTCAGGAGGCAGAGGTTGCAGTGGACCAAGATTGCACAATTGCATTCCAGCCTGGACAACAGAGTAAGACTTCATCTCAAAAAAAAAAAAAAAAAAAAAGTCGGTCCCACGCTTCACCTGGACCCATGGCAGCCACCTCCCTGGGTGGGGCCCAGGCCTCACCCCCTTATAGGCTCTCCAAGTGACAGTGAGTTGGAAGGATTTAAGCTCAGCTCAGTGAACAGCAACTCAGAAGACCTGAGGAGGAGCAAGTGCTGCCAAAGACGTGGAGTTGCTCACAGGCTGCCTCCAAATACTGTGGGTCGCCACTCCCCTAGTGAGCTGGGGAGCTCAGCTCTCTGACCAGACTGGCCTGTTTGCTTCCTGCCCTTCCCTTTCCCTCCACATTCCCACAGGTGACTCTTATCATTTTCTTTCTTTCTTTCTTTCTTTTTTTTTGAGATGGAGTTTTGTTCTTGTTGCCCAGGCTGGAGTGCAATGTGCGATCTCGGCTTGGTGCAACCTCTACCTCCTGGGTTCCAGTGATTCTCCAGCCTCAGCCTCCCTAGTAGCTGGGATTACAGGTGTGTGCCACCATGCCCAGCTAATTTTTTTGTATTTTTAGTAGAGATGGGGTTTCATTATGTTGTCCAGGCTGGTCACAAACTCCTGATCTCAGGTGATCCACCCACCTCAGCGTCCCAAAGTGCTGGGTTTACAGGCGTGAGCCACTGCACCTGGCTCCTTACTATCTCTTTCACCTTGTTTACGGCCTGCTCATTCTGCTAGGCCCTCAGGGTAAGGTCCAGTCCATGGACCTTATCACACACAAGGTCACATATCATCTACTCCTGACCTCCTCTCCAGTTTTCTTGCTCATTTTTTCCTTCCTGTTTCCTCCATCCACTTCCCCCATGAAACATTCTGCTTTTCCTGAGCCTTCCATGTGCCCTTGGCATGAGTTGTTCCTTGTGCTGGAAATGTCCATCTCCCCACCCTAATCCCATCCATTCTTCCTGACCCTGCTCAGAAGCTGCCTTCAGTAAAAGCTCCCTCAATATGCTCCCCTCTGGCTGGGCACAGTGACTCATGCCTGTAATCCCAACACTTTGGAAGGTGGAGGCGGGTGGATTGCTTGAGGTCAGGAGTTCAAGACCAGCCTGACCAACATGGTGAAACCTGGTCTCTAATAAAAATACAAAAATTAGCCAAGTGTAGTGGCGGTTGCTTGTAATCCCAGCTACTCTGGAGGCTGAGGTAGGAGAATCGCTTGAACCTGGGAGGCAGAGGTTGCAGTGAGCCGAGATTGCTCCACTGTACTACAACCTGGGCAACAGAGCAAGATTCCATCTCAAAAAAAAAAAAAAAAAAGAAAGAAAGAAAAAGAAAGAAAAAATGCACCCCTGTTTTCCTTAAACCATGGCATTGTACTATACCTCACCAGCAGGCACTCAGCTCCACCAGCCTCTGGACACAAGGAGGGACATGCAGGTAATCTCCAAACAAATCTGGACACTTCTTGGGAGTACAATCTCCTGTCTCTTTCAACTCTGCATCTGCCTTACCAGGAGCACAGTGCCTGGCACAGAGAAAATGCTCACAGGACCTCATGCAGCTGGAAGGGACCCTCTAAGGCAGAAATTAGCATGAGAAAGCCCCAGACCATCTTCAAGGACTTTAGACCGCTGAGCACAGGAACATGGATCATCAAGGAAAATTTGCTGGCCTATGCTCATTTCCCTCACCAAATTGGTAGAGTGGCAGGACCATGTCCTAGGAAGTCACAAGCCTATCTCTATATGTGGCCTGCACTTTGGGTTTGTGGCCATCACTATTAGGTTGAGTCCTATCTGACTATACCCAGTCCAAAGGTGTCACATGGTCAAATATAGAAGTCAGAAGCTTGGTCCCATCTCCCAGCATCTCACTTTGTCAGGCCTCCACATCTTTCCCCGTCTGACATATGAGTAGGCTGACAGCCCCTTTCCCCAACACAAGGAGGCTGGCTTTCGAAGGAAACAGGAGGACTCTCTCCCACCCTCACGAGTCTGACTTGGCTTCTCTGTCCTCCTTTGCTTTGCTCTGGTGGCTTGTATATTTTTTGAGCTTTGTTCCTACAGTTGGATAATCTTGAGCCGCCGAAGATCCTTAGGATTCCACCAATCCACTGTTTTCCAAATTTGCCCCAGCCTTACCCCAGACCCAAAGACTCAGGGGCTCCAGGGGCCTGGCGATCTACATCCTTAGCAAGGTCTTTAAGGGAGTCACTCATCCCCCACTGCACTCTTTTTTTTTTTTTTTTCCCCTTAAGCATCCAGGAAAACCAGCATTCTTTTTTTTCTTTTTTTTTTCTGAGACAGAGTTTTGCTCTGTCGTCCATGGTGGAGTACAGTGGCACGATCTTGGCTCACTGCAACCTCTGCCTCCTGGGTTCAAGCGATTCTCTTGCTTCAGCCTCCTGAGTAGCTGAAATTACAGGTGTTTGCCACCATGCCTGGCTAATTTTTTATTTTATTTTTTTTTATAGATGAGATTTTACCATGTTGGTCAGGCTGGTCTTGAACTCCTGACCTCAAGTGATCTGCTTGCTTCGGCCTCCCAAAGTGCTGGAATTAAAGGTGTGAGCCAACATACCCAGCCCTGTATATTTTTTGAGCTTGTTCCTACCTATAGTTGGATAATTTTTTTTTTTTTTTTTTTTTTTTTTGAGACAGAGTCTTGCTCTGTTGCCCGTGGCGTGATCTTGGCTCACTGCAACCTCTGCCTCCTGGGTTCAAACAACTCTCCTGCCTCAGCCTCCCGAATAGCTGGGATTACAGACCGGCACCATCACAGTTGAGTTGGGGTTTCACCATGTTGGCGAGGCTAGTCTTGAACTCCTGACCTTGTGGTTCGCCTGCCTCAGCCTCCCAAAGTGCTGGGATCACAGGCGTGATCCACTGTGCTTGGCCCAGTTGGATAATCTTGAGGCTCTAAAGGTCCTTAGGAATCCATCAATCCACTGTTTCCCAGACTCAGGATCTCCAGGGGCGTGGCGACCTGCATCCTTAGCAAGCTCCTTAAGGGATTCACTCAACCAACCCCACCGCGCTCATGTTACAGGCTGGCTCATGGATTGCAGAAAGCCCTCCACTGAGAGCCGTCCCATCTGAGTTCCAGCCTAGGCTCTCATCAACCTGCCAAATCATCTCATCTCTCTGGGCCTCATTGCTTCCATCTGTATAACGGGGACGATCACTTTTAACCTGCCTAATTTGCAGAGTTCTTGGGATGGTTAGAATAGCAGAAGGGGCGGGAGGCAGGCAGGCTCAGCGGGAGAAGAGATTTGCACAAGGTCATCTACCTCTTCATCTGCTTGTTTTGTGCCGGGCGAGGGAATTCTGCCGGGAACAACTTGTTGGGGGAGATGACATTCTAGTCCACAATGAAACCAGTAAATGAACCAGATAATCACGATAAAGGGGTTTTCGAGAGTCAGGGCAAAGGTGTGTGTTGGGGGAGGGAGGGTCTGCCCAGGAAGGGTCACTCTGGCAGAGCACTGGTGGTCGGGGAGCTGTCCCAGGAGGTCCTGGAGAACTGTCACAAGCCCAGCTGTGGCAGAGCCGGGAGGCCCTCTCGAGCCCAGCCAGGGCGCTCCCAGGGCCCTCGGAGCCGCGGCGGGCGCGGGTCTTTGTCTCCCACATTTTCTCTGCCGCCTCTCCCGACCCCCAGCGCTGTTCCGTCTCTGACCCCGAGTAACTTGTTGGTTTCCCCCGGGCTTTGTTTCCCGGGGGTCACCGCCTCGCGGACGCCGGGCAGCCGCCCCAGCCCTCGTGGGTCCTGCATCTGACACCCCCTCCGGCCCCCGCCCCCTACCCGCTCGGAGACAGGGGTCAAAGGCAGCCCGCGTCACGTGGTCGCCGAGCAGCACCGAATCGGCCGGGAGGGCCGAGGGAGAATCCGGGTGGAAGCCGAGAAATCCAGCCCGGATAGCAGCGCTCCGTCCCGCCCCGGCCCCCGCCCCGGGGCGCTCACCGCACGCCCACCCGCCGCCCCGGGCTCCGGAGCCCTTCTCCGACCGGCACCCACGCGGCATCACGAGATCGAACCCCGCTCCCAGCGGCCGCGATTCGGTGAGGTAGGCGCTGGGCCGAGGGGTAGGGGGAGACGGGCCGGGGGGCCCTGGGCGCGCGGGTACGCCCCTCTGGGCTCCGCGGGCCCGGGGGGGCGAGGCTGCGCGCCCCAACTTCCAGTCTCCAGGGAGACCCCTCCCCGCCGCGTGACGAGGGTGAGGCTGCGAGCTGCCCCGGGCACCGCCGGGCCGGGACTGGGGGCTGGGCACCGGGAGGGAGCGGGAGCGGGAGGGGGAGGAGAACGAGTGGGAGGCGGCGGTGGCGGCGGCGGCGTGGAGCGGAGGTGGGAGCGGCGGGAGGCGGCGGCGAAGGGGTTAACCTTGGCCGGGGCCGGAGCCGGGAGGCGCATGCACGGCCGGGGGGACCCCGGCGTCCTGCTTCTCGCCGGGAGCGCCGCTTCCCCCGCGTGGCGCCCCAGCTGAGGCAGGTAAGAGGCTGGGAGGGCCCGGGCCTGCCAGTCCCCTGTCGCCGAGCCGGCGTGGCCCGAGCCGGGCGTGCAGGCCGCGCGGGGCCCCAGCGGCCGCCGGCGCAAGTTTGGTGCGGGCGGGCGCCGGGCGGGCGGGTGTAGTCGGCCGGGCCCCGAGCGCGGGGGTGGGAGGACAAAGGGGTGGGGGGCCGCGCGGGGCCGGGGGGCAGGCCGGGGTGCGGGCGAGGGCAGCGCGGCAGCTGTAGGTCACGGATAATGTCACTCACGAGGAATGCCCCCTCCCCCTCCCCTGCTCCCGAACAGGGGAAACTTTTGTCTAGCGAGGGAGGGGGTTAGAGGCCGGGTCCTGCCTTCGCGAAGGCTAAGGCAGCCCGACCGGTTTTCTGCGGGCTCGGAGCGGCCTGGTCTCTAACCCCCCTCCTCCCTCAGGGTCCTCCCTTTGCACGCAGGTTTTTAACGCACGGGGACAGGGGTGAGGAGGGGGAGCCTGTGGGACGGCTGGGTTCTGGGACCTCCCCGGGAATCCGGCGACTGACCACTTGGCTCTTGGCAGAGTCGAGCACCCCGGGCCCCTGAACGCCCCATCTTCGCTTCTCCCCACCCAGGAGACCTTTCAGAATGGCCTGGGGGCAGTTTTGCCCCCTGGTCTGTTCAGAGAGACCTGGGTGTTTGTCACTTTCCAGCTGTGTGACCTTGAGTGGTTTCCTTACCTTTCCCTGGCCTCAGTTTCTTCACCTGCAAAATGGGGAGAATAGTATTTGCTAGAGTAAGAATGAGAGGAGTGTATGCTACTTCAGTAAATGGTGGCATGCTTACATTCAACAAGTAATTTCACATTTACTGCGTGTTAAGCGCTGGACTAATTCACTGCTTTACATACATTCTCTCATTTAATTCTGCCACATTACTATTAACCACATTGTATGGAGGGGAAACTGAGGCACAGAGTAGTAAAGGTCACACAAGTAGCAAGTGGTGGAGCTGGGATTTTACCTCCCTCTCCCAGCCTGTGTCTCAACCACAGAGCTCTGCAAGGTCTTGCTGTGACAACTCACAGTTTATTTCTTCTTCTTCTAGTTTATTATTTCTTCTTCTTCTTCTTTTTTTTTTTTTTTTTTTACAACTTTGGCCTTGTACAGTTTCATTTTCAGTTGAAATTATGGGGACATCTGTCCTCTTCTCCATTTCCCCCACCCGCAGGTAGTGCTCCCTTCTGCCTGGTACTTGTTCCAAGTGAGGTCTTGTGTCCTGGCTCTTGTTAGCGTGGCCAGCTGGAGCAGGAGAGAGGTTAGCTGGAGCCTGGTCCTGGAGCTCCGTGATGGTCCAAGTGCCGTTGCTGGCTGCTGGGTCCATGGCAGTGTGGGTGGTGCAGGGAGAAGCCCGTCTCCTTGGCTCTGACTGGAGACAGCTGGTGGCTTTGTCAACAGGCCTCTCTCCCTGGCACCCAGGGATAGCTGAATTTTTACTTTTCATTCAGACCAGGTCACTTTCAGATCAGCAGGGGCAGAGGTAGGACAAGGGTGCTCTTGTGTAACTTGGCCGTGGCAGGGTCCTCACTGCTAACTAATGGACAGGTCTAGATGCCCCAGCCCCAAAGTTCTTGAGGATAGTAATAGTGTCAGGATTGCAGAACCCTAATGGAGAATGCATGTGTGCACAGGTTCCTGAGCCCAGTTAGTGCGATGTTGGGCACCCTGTAGGCCTCAGTAAATATCCCACAAGTGAATGTGTGAGGTGGCTCACACTTCTGTTGGCTTTCACACCCTGGGCTGGCCCAATCATTTGGTGGGGGTGACATCTTATGAGTACTGATCAGGCTGTGATTGAGGGCCTTGAGTAATCACTTTAGAAATGGAAAACAAATTGCTGCTTAATTAACAACATCTTAAAATCTAGGGCTGAGAGAGAGTGTGGTAGGTGGAGGTAGATAATGAGAGAAATCCTTGGAGAAGGGAAGTTTGTGCATTTCAGCCCTACCTGCTCCGAGGGCTGTTCAGCACTGTGTCTGGGATTTGCAGGGTTTGTAGGCTTTTTGAGGGCCCTGGGAGTCGGGGGCCCTCCTGGGCTGATAGTTCATGGTCAGCTTGTAGAAATAAATGTGGAAATTCCATTGCTTTGCTGGACATTGAGGGGGCTCAGAAAAGCAGGACATTGAGTGAAGGAGTTGGAAGGCTGACTTGCCATATGGTCAGACTGTCCTTGTCATTGTGGTCAGAGCAAGAGGAAAGGCCTCTCGGGGAATCAGCAAGGAAAGAGAGAGCCCAAGTAAGCAAGATAACATGATAGTGAGCCTCCTGTCACAAGGAGGTATGCGAGGAACAGTTTTGCAATCACAAATGGAGGATGTGGTCAAGAATTTAAGATCATAGACTCGGGCTGGCATCTGAGAAACTCACCAATGTACTCTGGTCTCAGCAGCACAGAGCTCTCTCTGCCCTGGGCTTTGGACCTGCTTGGCTGTGCTTTGGCTACCCTTCCATGCTTCGGGACCAAAGCCAGGCCTGCAAGTCTCTAGAGGCTGGGCAGACTTCTACTGGCCTGGAATTTGGATTTGAGTATATGGCCTGAAATATCTGGGCTGTTTGGAGGACTTGGACATTCTTTACTTGAAATGGAACATTAGGGTAATTTGTGAAATGTGTATGGAAAACGTCTGTGGCTGAGGGTGACAGGGGACACAAAATGGGGTGAAGTCCCGCTGGATCCTGGAGAGGCTGTTCTGATGGGGTAGGGAAGATGAGGATTCGAGTGATGGCTGTGGGGCAGGATCTGATCAGTTATAGATGGGTTTGGAAGGTCAGTGGAAGGAAACGCCCTCTGCTTATTGTCAGCAAGGCTTCCTGGAGGAGGAAGTGTTTTCCAGGGTGCAGCCTGGGGGAAGGGGGACAATAGGAGACAAGATTGGGTTGTGGGAGCCTGCAGTGCCCTGCTCAGGAGTTTGGATTTTATTGTCGCCTGTAGAGAGGACAGAGGGTTGTAAGTAGCTCATTGACTCGATGCCTGTTCCTGTGCCTTGTGTCAGGCACTATGCCAGGCTCTTCACAGACACCCCATTGAAATCTCACAATACCCTGCAAAGTAGCTGCTGCTGCTGCTGGTAACCCCTACCGCCCCTGTCCCATTTTCATGTTTGGAAATAGAGGCTCAGAGGGGTGGAGTCACTTATAGAGCTGGAATTTGAACCCAGGCCTGAACTATTTCTGCCTTACCATGTTGGTTCTCAGGGGTCTTTTGACCAAAGATGGTAGCAAGACTGGCAGAGTTAAGACCAGCCCAGAGATGGTGCTCATTATGGTCCTGCAGAAAGCCGACCACAGGCTGACTCAGGCAGTGGGCTGAGACGGGAGGAGGGGGAAGCTGCAGGACTTTGTAGCTGTCTTGGAGTTTGAGGTTGTCACAGGTGCTCTTAAGATTTGGGAAAGAACCCTTAAGGGACAGTATTACTGCTTTCAAATCCCTGAAAGGCCCTCTACAGGTAGGGGGCATAGTCTTGTCCTTCAGGGCTCCCGAGGTTGGAGACAGCAACAAGGGTGACAGCTCCAAGGAAGCTAGCTGGGAAGTAAGCTGTTGGAAAGAAGGCGGGAACAGCAGGGCTGAAAGTATGCAGAGGGTGCAGGAGGGTGTGCCAGCAGGGTCAGGCCTGGGTGACCACTCTCAGTTCCCTTTTCACCTAAGAATCTTAGCATTTGCATGGTGCCCAGCCCACTTCCACCCTCTGCTTTTCTCTTTTTTTTTTTGAGACAGAGTTTCGCTCTTGTTACCCAGGCTGGAGTGCAATGGCGCGATCTCGGCTCACCGCAACCTCCGCCTCCTGGGTTCAGGCAATTCTCCTGCCTCAGCTACA